GCTGTGAGGCCACGGTGCTAACCACCGAGACACCTGCAGCCCCACAAAAATGTTCTTAAAAACAGAAATGTGGCTGTAAAAGGAAGCGTTCTCGGTTAGAGTGTGATGAAGCAAACAGCAGTGTGTGTCTGTCCTTGCGTTTTATTGTCACGTTAAACTTACAGAAGAACAACAGGACACTTCCATGTTCTCGGTGATAATTGTACAAAAATAATATTTCAGTGAAAACGTTCTCTGAAGAACATCTTCTGTTTTCTTGGTGGTTTTTGTCTCGTCACTCCATCGGCCCCAAACAACAGCAAAGCGCACAATTAAAACGTGAATAATTAAGGTTCATTGTGTCACCTGCTGTGAGCGCTCTGATTGGTTCATTCATCCTGCGCAGGGATTGGTTGTTTGCTGGAGGAGGAGCCAATCCCGTTCCTGTCAGACAAACTTGTTTTAGTCCAGAAAAGGAAAATTTCGTTCATGTCCGAAGACAGAAACTTTGGTCACTTCCTCGCCCATAGTTATAGCCCCGCCTACTTTACAGCTGAAGGGCGGAGCTTCACCAATTTTACATCACGCTCTCAGCTGATTGGCTGGGCAGAAAGGTTTCTTAAACAAAGCTACCCAACTAAAACACAGACTCTGGGTTTCTTTACCAGAAGAAACTTGGCTCTCATTGCCCTCCCTCTGATTGGCTGCTGTGAGGCTGACTGACAGGCCTTAGGACCAATGAGGAGGCTCAGAGGGAGTGAGGAAGAAAGAAGAAGAGATGTGGGCGTGGCTAGGCGCTGGCCTCGATGCTGCACTCCTTGGCCAGGTGACCCGACTTCCCGCAGTTATAACAGTTCAGCTCCGACGCTTTACTGCAGTGAACCGCAACATGGCCGATCTCCCCGCACCTGCACACACACACTGGTTAGACTGGGTACACTGGTTATACTGGTCATACTAGTTATACTGGTCAGACTAGTTATACTGGTCAGAATGTTTGGACTGGTTAGACTGGGTACACTGGTTATACTGGTCAGACTAGTTATACTGGTCAGAATGTTTGGACTGGTTAGACTGGGTACACTGGTTATACTGGTCAGACTAGTTATACTGGTCACAATGGTTATACTAGTTAATACTGGGAACATTGATTATACTGGTCATACTAGTTATAC